GGTTCTGTACATGTTCTATCACTGAGCTACATGCCAGGCCTTATATATTCCATTTTATATTCTGCTTTTAGGACTATAGGAGTATACCATGAATATTTCTCTATGTCCTCAGTATTACTTGAAAATAATTTTGCATAGCTGTATGATACCCCTTCGTGTATATATGCCTTTATTGGGGGTTTTATAATAGTAGAAAACTTTTCTACAATTTAACAGTAATGTAATGATCTTTTTTTTAAATCTGAGAAATTATATTTATTGAGAACTCTTCCTTTATCATAGATGGGTGTTTGCTTTCTTTTTTTTTGGTGGTACTGGGAATTGAACCTGGGGCCTCAGGTATGCCGGTCAAGCATTCTACCACTGATCTGCATACCCATCCCCAGTCCTGAACATTCCTATGCAAAAGTTTTGCTTATAATTCTAGTTCTTTTTTAAAAAATTTATTTTCTTTTAAATTATGTGTATGTCTGAGTGTGGTTATGTGCACATGTATGCAAGTATCAGTGAAGGACAGAAGAGGGTGTTGGATCCCTTGGAACTGGAATCACAGATGATTGTAAGCTACCCGATATGGGTGCTAGGAACTGAACTTGGGTCACTGAGCCATCTCTCTACACACACCCCTTCCCTTTTTTCAAATTTCTCCAATTTATTTTTATTTTATGTGTATGAGTGCATGGCCTGCATGTGTGTAAGTGTACCCATTGTCCTGCAATGTCTGCAGAAGAGGGCATTGGATCCCCTGGAACTGGAGTTACAGAGGGTTGTTAGCCACCATGTGGGTGCTGGGATTCGAACCTGGGTCTTCTGCAAGAGCAGCCAGTGCTCTTAACTGCTAGCCATCTCTCCCAGCCACCCCCCCCTTTTTTTTTTTTAGATACTGGAGATAGAACCCAGGACTTTGAACATGCTAGACAGGATCTCTACTCAAGAACTACATCCCAAGCTACTATTTATTGAGTTACTTCAGCTTTGCAGTGCTGGGGACTAAATCCAGGGTCTTGCACGTACCAGGCAAACGATATGCTTCTGATCTTGGGATATATTTCTAGAAGTAGAATTATAAAGTCTAAGACCATCTGTGTAAGTTTAACTTTTCATATTCTTCACATATTTGATATATCAGAATGAAGACCTGAGCAAGGTCTTTTGTTTTGGTGATTGTTTTTGCTTTGATATTACATGCTCAGTATACTGTTGTTTTGTTTTGATTTTGTTTCCTGAGCCAGGTCTCTCTATATAACTTAGGCTGGCCTCAGAATTGAGACTAGAAGCGTGTGCTACCATGCTTGGCTCTGTCCTACCACTTAAGAAAAACAAAAACCAAAAAACTAAAAAACCAGCAAGATTTCTTCCAGTCTAGGCTCGTTTTCATCAGCCCATTTGGAGAAGATCAAGCTCATAAGCTCACAGTGGGCTTGCCCAAGCTCCTTCACTGACAACTGGGAAACTTGGTGCATTTTTATGGTAAAAAGAGCAGAGAAGAATTACAGTTTTCTTGCTGCTTCACTTCCTTCTCCTGCTCTCCCTCTTTTGAAGGCAGGCAGTTGGAGACCTAGGAGGTCACAAAGGGAAGAAGTACTGTCAGGCCAAAGAGATGATTTGATTCATGCAGAGTGGCTGCAGAGCCCTTTTTAGGAAGCTCAGGCCTCTGACTTGCAGCTCAGGGATCCTCCTGTAGTAAGGCAATGGCAAGGACCAGGGTACTTGGTGTTTAGTCCTGCCTTGAACAAATGGTTAAACCTCTCTGAGGTGCTATGTCCCCACTTGAAATGAAAATTACAGTACCTCAGGTGGGTATAAAGATTTGGCCAGTACTACTAGAATGCACACATTAGATGCCCAATAAATGTTAGCTTCCCCTTTCCCAGTGGACGGTACACTTAAGCAATGAACTTATTCAGGATGGTTGAGTCCCCAAGTGATCATTCCTTTTGAGGATTTGAAACAACTGTTGAGTCCACCAGGACAGAAGCTCTTGAAGTAACACTGTCTTCTGCCTCTTGCTGCTACCCCATTTCCCCGGGGCCCTGGGCTGCTGATAAAAGGAAAGGGACCCGGGGACCCCAGGCAGGGCAAAACTGGATAGACCAATCCTAAGTGCATGACTGGTTCAGGGGCATGAAAGGATTCAGTCTTTGCATCAGCACCAGAAGGGACCTCCAGAAGGCATCTAGGTCATGTTCCCTAATCATCTCCCATTTTACAGCTGAGAAAAGTGAGGTCCAGAGGGGTAAAAGTGGGGTTTGGCAATGCCAAGTTACTAGCACCAAGACTTACTCTCTCTGTTACTGTAATAACTGGCTAGTGCTCACCAAGGGCCTGCTCCATGCCAGACACAGCATCAAAAGGCCTGCTATTGCCATCATCTCCATTTTACAAATAAGGAACCGAACTTAGAGGAATTGGGTAACTTTATAGGAAGTTGTAGAATTTGAACTCAGAACCAAAACGAAGATAGGCTTTTTTCTATCATGCCAAGTAACAGGATCGTTCTCCCCACCTATGGCATCAAAGCTTGTGGAGCTGCTTAGCCTCCCCAGCGGTCCTTCCCCCACACACCTGTTAGAGGCCTTCTTGTTGGGCCCCTCTAGGTCATGCTTGCGGCCCAGGTAGCCCTCCATCTGCACACTGTGCCCGAGGTCCCGCTGGGCTGGCAATGTTGTAGGCTCATCACCCTCACTCAGGGGCGTGTCCAGGACCTTAAAGAGGGGCTCTGTGACTGTTCTCTCATCCCCGCACGATTTTTCTTCCTGCTTGTCCTTGTGCTGTCCTGGCAAGGGTGGCGGATGCAGATACTGAGGCCATAGTCTCCTTTCTTCCCCCTGCTTGGGGAAAAGGAGAGGAGCATACCTTCATGGGGGCTCACCTTTCTTGACATTCCCACCTTTCTGCTTCTCTTCTGCCATAAGCCACTGGGCCCACTCTCAGTCTCTTCCAGTTTGTCACAGGGATCTACTTGCATCCCTGGCCTCTGTCTATGATTCTGGTTCCATCTCCCTCACCTCACAGTGGGTAACCCCTTGTCTCCACCTAACATATAACGAAAGGTTGTTTGAAGGATCTGGAAGGACCTGGTGATTCACATATCCAGGGCTTGTTCCAAGGCCATAGTCAAGCTCTGGCTCAGGCCTGTTCCAGGCCCCACCCCTTCTTCCTCCAGATTCTTCCATTTGAGACACATTGGAGCTCTGGAAATACTTTGCAGAAAGCATCTGCTGCTGGGACACACTTTGAGCCACTTGGATGAGGGAGTTGAGTGGGAACTCTTCTGCTGCCTTCAAATTGTGACTGAAGCCCTCTATCTCCCCTCACCTTATAAAGTGAACCTACTAGGCCTGCGTCAGCTCTGATACGCCCCCTCTTGTCACCTGATAGGAGCTTGTTAGAGTTCCTAGCGCTGGCTCTGACAGGTCCCCTCCCATCACCTAGTAGGAACTTGTTGATCAGGCAGGAGTTCCTAGTATTTGTTGCCTAGAGTCATTGTCTTGAGGGAAGTGCTATGGGTTTTACCTCCCTGTGGGGCCCCTGCATCCCAAGCCAAGAGAGGGAAGCAGCTGTTGGTTTGTAGGTGGTATCAGGGGGCCCAGGAGAAGAACTGGATCTCCCATTCCCTAGCAGGACATCTAATCATGCAGGGCCTGTCTGATTGACCTGCTCTTGTACCCGAGGCAGCAGAATGTGGGGGCAGCTGACCCTCAATAGTCAGGTGGTGCAAGATTAGTGGGAGGGTCTTCTAGGTGCCGAATGAGCATGAAGGAAGGCAGCCTCACTGGGGCCATGGACCTAGTGCACCATTCTCATGGCCTGACTGCTGGAGACCTCAGTATAAGGTAGAAAGGTATCTGGATTCCTGAAGGCCATGAACAGGCAGCCCGGGAGGACCAGAGTCACCCAAGAAATAAAGGGATTGCTCTGGGGTCTACTCTGTCTTTCCTTTCCCAGCAACTGACTGGGAGAAGAACACTGGGGAGGAGCAGAGAAGAGACAGGAAAGAGTAGGCCATATTCTCTTCATTGGGGTGCATCCTGAGGCAGAGGGTAGAGGGTGTGAGCACCAAAGTGGACATCAGACTGAAGCTTTAATCTGAAACAAACTGGGTACTTTTAGCAGTTGCAAATGACTGGGCTTTGCCTGAGGTAGCACTATGGAATACCAAGGGGAGATGCCCTGGGGAAGTTCAAAAAAAGTGGCGGGAAGACTGGTAAAGCTGCTCGTGCATGTATTCCATCAGATTAGGATGACTCAGAAAACAGGTTGTAAGGAGAGGTCCTAGTAAGATGTTATTCAAAGAAAAGGTAAGCTGGATGGAAGCGTTTGCAAACCACTGACCTCACATTTTCTATGTATAGTGAGAAAATGCTCAGAGGTTAAATGACTCTGGATGGCACACAGCTAATAAATATACAAAGTAATTAGGAACATGCCATCTAGAATTGGGCAAGTCTTAGTTTTTTGTTTTTTTTAATGCTTTAAAATTTTTTATTTTATGTGTATAGTTGCCTACATGTTTGTATGTATACTATGTGTATGTGCCTGATACCTATGGAGGCCAGTAGAGGGCATCAGATCCCCCATAGCTGGTGTGACAGATGACTGAGCCACCATGTGAGTGTTTGGAAGAGAACTTGGGTCCTCTGCAAGAGCAGCCAGTGCTCTTCACCACTGAGCCATCCCTCCAGCCCCAGGTCTGGGTTTTTGATCCCATTTATCGGGTACTTTCTTTTGCTTGTTAGAATCCCTTGAGGGTGTAGTCGAGCCACAATATTATCTGCATTCTGCAGAATTTGCACCTTAGAGTGTCTGCCATGAGCCAGCATTGGCCCCAAGGCTCTGGAGGCTCTGAAGCCTGGCCTGGATCTCCCTCTAGAGATGAGGATGAGCAGGAGTGGAAGGGCTGGGGCTGTAAGCCTTGTTTTAGAGTCCTGCTGTGGCCCCAATACAGTCAGCCTTCTGCTTTGGATAAGGTTAGATTTCCATGCCACCTCTTAGTTCCAGTCTCCAGCACAGCTGGAGAGGGGACACTGTCCAGGGGACCAGGCGTGGGCACAATGCCACACCTACAGATACGCAGGAAGCTTCTAGCCCCTGTCATGGGGTCTTGGAAAAGGTGCTGTATCAGCTACTGGGAGGGAAGCCACCTGACCCTCATAGCTGCACTTGCCCTGCTCCTGGCCTCTCCCCTCCTGGGACTAGCTCGTGGAAGCTTCTGAATCCACATTTACTTCCTATGCTTTTCCTTCTGCCCTTTTCTCATCTGAAAATCAAGACGGATTCAGCCGGAGCTGACTCCCATCATGTCTGCCTCTTCTTGCTGCACCCTGGGCAGGGACAAGCCCAGGCTGTGATCATTTGTGTTCTGAGGCTACATGGTTGAGTTATGGGTTGGCTTTGGAACACAGAGGTTTCCAGTATATGCAGACTTCTTCTCTGGTCTTGCTTTTGTGGAGAGGATGGCAGTGTATTCTGCCTCCCACCCCGCACAAAGGCCAAGACCTGAGCAGGAGGAGCTGAGAATGAAGGTGTGGGTAGAGGGGTTTGACTTTGACAGGGCTCATTTCCATCCTGGACTGGAGATAGACACAGATGAGGAAGATGGACTAGAAGGAAGGTGGATGCAAGAGAGGAGGGAAGGGCTAGGGATTCTTTCTTCTCCTCAGCTCCCAAGGGAGTCTGGCCAGCTTCTAAAGGAGTAGGGGAGGAGGAGGGAAGGGAGAAGACTTTCGCCAACATAGCCCTTCTAGAACAGCCACCCCTTCCCCACTGAACCTTTTCCCACTGTGCACATACCCTCTCCCTGGCCCAAAACCTGGGTGTTAGGTCACATGGGCCTGGAGTGAAGTCTCTGAGTATCCATATCTAAGGGACAGGAGAGAACCCAGCAAGTCACCAACCTTCCTGATGCTGTCTGCTAGTGGGGTGGAACCTGAACCCATTCCATGGGTGATTTGAAGCCTTTCAGAGTGAGACAGTGACTGCAAATGTTGACTATGAGCTCCACCCCTCCTGACCTACCCTCCTCAGGGCTCTGTGGAGCAATCTAGCCAGTACCCATGTGGTCAACGTGACCATCTCAAATACCCTTTGATCTAGAATAAGTGATGCTCAGAACTTCTTAGTGAGTCTTCTGCCACTGACAGGCAAGGTCCCACTTACTCTGTCCTCTGCAGCTTTCAACTGGGATACTCTGAGCCTCCAGACAGGTGAACATGTAAAAAAGCCCTTCAGGGCAGCTCAGACACAGCCTGAGGCTCTCAAAGCTTGAAGGGGAACCAGAGAGGAAGGTGTTTTAGAAGGTAAATGCAGAAGTCACTAAACAAGACAGAGGTCAACAGCACTACCTAGTGGGAGGTTCTGGTAATTCAGATTTGGGTTTTTACAAAGCATTCGCAGCTTTGCAAAGAAGCTCTTGGGATGACTATGCCTAGACGTATCCCAGTGGTCATATATATATATATTTTTTTTTCTGAAGCAAAATCAGTGTTTAGAATATCACTCTTGGGGCTCTGATCTGTAGAGAAATGTTCACAAGATAGTGGAGAAGTCAGAGGGAGTTGCTTCCTTGCCTCCTCTGGTCAGTCCTGCACATGGTATACCCGAAGCATAGCAGTGTGGTGCAGATCTTTATTCTGCAACTCATAAGAGACAAGGAACTTCTGGGGCCTTGTATTTGTAGCCCTACCTCTAGCAGAAAGATGTAGGTAGAATCAGCAATGAAGGCCTTATTAGGGAAGCAGGTTCCATGGGGAAGACTGGAGGTGGCCAGTGAGGGGGCAGGCGTAGGTGAAGCCCAAGCTGAGTCAAGGAGACACTTTCAGAATTCTAGAGCTGAGAAGAGGCCTTGTGCCGGTGGGGGGGGGTCAACACATCAGCTAGTCCCACTACAGATGGGAAAACTGGATTCCAAAGAGCTCAGGGACTGTCTAGTATCATGCAGCAGGTTAAAAGTAGGGCTGGGCTACACTAGAGCTGAGAAGAGGCCTTGTGCCGGTGGGGGGGGGGTCAACACATCAGCTAGTCCCACTACAGATGGGAAAACTGGATTCCAAAGAGCTCAGGGACTGTCTAGTATCATGCAGCAGGTTAAAAGTAGGGCTGGGCTACAAGGCCATAGTTTTGCTTCCCTGCCCACACAGGACTTTTAGATCTGAAAAGGTGGCAACACAGGACCATGGGCTAGGGCATGTAGATGGTCAGGGAACCAAGGGAGCTAACCTGGGCTGCCTGGGCCCAGCTCCAAACCTGCCAGCAAGTGAGTGTTAGGCCTGCAGTATTACTGAAAGTTTCTGCCTCTTTCTAGGTTGGATGCATCAAGAACTCTAAGGTAAGATTAACAGATGGGCTTGGGTAGAAGGACCAACCTTGCCCAGGTCCCAAGGGTAAACAAAGAAGGGAAGAGGTGCAGTTCTCCTACTCTCCCTGGAAGCAAGCCGTAGAATGAGGTAGAGATCCGTTGTGCCAGGCAGGTGAAGGAATCTAGGTAGAAAGTGCCAGGAGAAAGGTGCTCTGGCCAGAGCCCGGAGCTGGCTTCACATTCAGCTGATGTGCAGTTGTAGGGACAGGCTCTTCCAACAGGCACCGAATGGAGAAGATCTGAGCCCCTTGCTGACCTCTACATCTTCAGCCAGGGGGCCTGTGGTTGCTGCCACTGGCCATTAGGAAAATGCATCACTGAGGGGTGCCCAGCACAGGACATCACCCAGAGGAGCTGGGACACCTTGAAAGAGAATGTTCTATTTGGAGGAAATTCTGGGTGTCAGGCTAGGGGGTGGCAAAGGGATCTGGATCCTAAGTGGGGATGGCCGCACAAAGGTGAGTGTCTGGCATG